AATGAGGGCAAAGGAATTTTAGCTCCTATTGTTTTGATTGATCAAATTTCAATCTTTCAATCTTCAATCTCAATCTTTAATGCCTAGTCTGATTCCGCCCTTAAGTTAGTGCTTGAATCAATCAGAGAGCTGTATTATGCCTGGTTTATGCTTCGGTCTTAACCCTAAAATCCTAAAATTCAGCGAATAGGTCTGTTAGTCTTAATTGGTTCTAACTAAAATCTGTATTCCATTGGTTAAATTTTAGGATTTTAGGATTAAGACCGAAGCATAAACCAGGCATTAGCATCTTAAGACAGTAAGTCTGTTCTTTTTAACTGAACATTTGCATCAGTTCATCTTTCTTCCTTTTCTCTCCAGGAGCAAAGAAGAGGAAGAAAGATGAACTGATGCAAAGTTCAACTAAAAAGGACAAGCCTATTGGATACATTCAGTGCCACGATCACTCACTGAGCGCTCAGTGAGCTCTCGTATCTGTTTGATCTATATTTTTAGTTCTAACGGAATATGCCAATAAGATGTAAGCGCTCACTGAGCGCTCAGTGAGCGGTCGTAGTACTGAATGCATCCATTGCTTGAGATTAAGGACGGAATCTATAGGCCGATATTCAAAGTCGGTTCTTATTTCAAGACCGTCTTAAGTAATGTCTTAAAACGCTAATGCGGCTCTTTGATTGGTTCATGATATCTCAGGGCTGAACTTAAGACAGTCTTAAATTTAAGATCTGACTATGAATACCGGTCATAATCCGGTCTTAGGACGGTATTCATAGTCGGTTCTTATTTCAAAACCGTCTTAAGTAATGTCTTAAGACGCTAATGCGGCTTTCTGATTGGTTCATGACACCTCAAGGCTGAACTTAAGACGGTCTTAAATATAAGATCTGACTATGAATACCGGCCTTAATCTCAAGCAATGTCTTAAGCAATGTCTGGCCGGTATTCATAGTCAGTTCTTATATTCAAGATCGTCTTAAGTTCAGCCTTGAGATGTCATGAACCAATCAGAGAGCCTCATTAGCGTATTAAGACATTACTTAAGATGATTTTGAAATAAGAACCGACTATGAATACCGGCCTCTGATTGGTTCATGCACTAGCTTAAGACCATCTTGAATCTTGAGCAACATTCATGAAGAATAGAGATAAGGAGGCCGAACTGACATAGAAAAATGTTCGAAAAACACGGCCAAATTGCTCACTGAACTCTAATTTACTAATGCTCCGCTAGATGGCGGCTCTGTTTTATCGTACCTTACATGTACACGCACCAGCAGCAATGGTGTTCCTCGGCGGCTGTAGGTCTGTTCGCGTTGCATGAAATCCCCAAATATTTTTGCACTTAAAATAAGATAGATATATATTTGGCCTTGAAAAGAGAGAAAGCGAAGATGCCGAGTGCCAAAAGTGCAAGCAACGCGACAGACCTATAATAGCGCTGGTTATAATGGATCCATAATACTGGAATAACCAATCAAATGTTACCCAAATTCATTCTCCTACTGCGCACCATGGGAGCGCTTCACCTTATTAATTCCACCATGGTTCTGCGACAGTATCGAAAGAGAAATCGTTTTCTGTTTCTTTTCGAAGAGTTGTGGCAAAGCACAGTGACAAATTAGTCGCAAGTTGAAATTACGCATATCTCGTAAATTGCTCTACGTTTAGAATCTTTCAAAAAGAACAATGGCATCGATGCAGGACAGTGAGTCTGATTTTTGACAAAAGATGCTTTTATAGGTTAAGACAATTGTATTGAGTTTCAATGCATATTTTGATTTTAAATCAACAGATTTCAGATAATCTCATTCTATACTTGTCGTTACTTCTGGAATACACTAGTTTTATCTGCTTTAAAATAAACAGATATTCGGACAGATGTCCAAAATGAAATAGCGATGTCGCTAACCTATACCACCAAACAAAGAATGTCAACGTAAAAAAATTTTACTTGCGCAAATTTTGCTTCTGTTTGTTTTAATTGCATTTTTGGTTTTTAGATGTAAAATATTATTAATATTAATTAATTATGTAAAATATTGTATATTTAAAGATGACTTTTAAGAAAAAAATTAAGAAAAAAGTAAAATAACGAAAAGAAATGACTAAAGAAGATATTATATATTTTAATATTATACTTGTAGTTCTATATATAAGATACTCTATTTAAAATTTTTGTGTTATGATTACTTACTAACTTTATGAGATTAAAGTTACTTCATTTAATCAATTTTGTAACCTTTTTCCATGATATTTCATATTATGATTTATGATATTTCTGTCATTTAATTTCTTATTTATATGAAAGATAGCTAAATAGTATTTAATTAAAATTAAATTAATTTACTTCAGCATATATAAGCCAAGAAGAGGTAGATGATATTTAATTAAGAATATAAATTTCAGGAATGAAACTCAAACGTACGAGCTCGAGCTGTGACACATGGTCTACACGGGAACAATTATGTCTTGCATCAAGCGTATTAAAATCTGGGGATCAGAATTGGATGAGTGTAGCCAGATCATTGAAACTATTTATTGAAAAAGAACCATTAAGGCCTGCAGACTGGTTTTCGCAAAAGTCATGTGCTGTACAATATGCGTCTCTACTAGAAAATGCTGATACGCCAAAAAGAAAGAAACGGGAGAGCGGCGAAACCACTAGCGAGTCCATAGTTAAAAAATTGACACAGGAGAGAATAGCCGAGTTAAGTCAGATTCTCAACCGTCAGAAGGAGGAGTACCTACGACTCAAGATGGATTTAAATCATCTCAAGTCTAGCGCGATAAGCGACGAGAAGTTGGAGAAGATGTGGCTTGATATACAACAGGAGGAACGTGAGATGGAGCAAAAGACACGGACTCACATGACGTGGCTGGCAAAACGTCAACAGCAACAAAAGCAGGATATGAGTTCACCATCCATCTCGACTTCAATTATAACCCAAACTCGTAAAGTGGAAGGAGGTACAACGGAGGTACTGCAGGAATCCACTGCGACAGAATCATCAGCAGAGAACGATAAGGAAAAGAAAACTAACAGGGGCGGTAGATCTCCATTGTTGACGAGTCTATTGAAATCTCCCAGCCCGACCACTCAGACTGTACAGTCCTTTCCGTCCACTCCGGTTCAAGTGAGTTCGCCGACCATTACCAGTCTGCTTGGATCAAGTCCTAAAGTGCTAAACGCACAGATGGCACAAAAGGTATCGCCACAGTTGCAGCAGTTGGTCTCGACGGCTATAGCCAGCGCGAATACGACACCAGAACGGCCGTCCGTTGGTGCTCCTACTCTCTCTATGCTGTTGGAAATGCCAGCGAGTACGCAGAGAGGATCTCTACCAAATTTGCAAACGACAACCCCCACAGCGATTGTGTCCCATGCACAACAGCAACGGACAACCACAACTGTGGCTGCCACCTCCGAAGTGCATAATTTTCAGCAAACGGCGCAATCGCAAACTCAAGTCGAACAGGCTATCCAGAACGAAGCGATGACAGCTACGACGATGTCGACAGTTCCAGCGACCGCCACCACTTCGACAAATATACCGGTGTCAGAGAATATGCAGATTCAGATAATTGATCATATAGACGTGATGCGTAAAGATATAATGGTGGATGTGATGGATAAGGATGAGATAAACGACATCATCGGCGACATCGAGGAATTAATCAAGGAAGAGATCAAAGAAGATATTCCCAGCAGTCCACAGACGATGGAGACGAGTGGCTCGACAACAACAACGACAACGACGACGACGACGACAACGACGACGACAGCAGTTATCAATGGTCTCGCCAGTATGCCCCAACAAACGACGGAAGTACTGATACCTACAACGGGACCAAGGCCGCAGCCGAGAGATGTAGATGAGGCTGTGTCGCTGTCCGATTCGCCGCAAAGCGAAATGGCAATCGAGGAGATCGATTCTAGTACTTCGAATATCGCCGAGATTATTGGAACTGTCGCCATAGATTCACAAGAACCTAAAATTATTGTCACAGAGATCACAGAGACCATACCAAACACATCGGAGACCAAGTCCGAGACGAGTACGTGTGAAAAGAAGACGACTTTGACGGAGCAGCTTGTTCCGAAGACAGAAATCAAAGACGAAGAAACTAGTAACGATAGTCCAATGGAAGAGAAACAATCGGATGTTGAAACAAAATCTGTGGACGCCTTATCGAATGTAGAGATTGAGGAAAATAACTCTAAACTTTTGGACGAAATGAAGGAAACAATAAACGAGATTACGGAAGACGTGGAAGAGGAAGCTGAAGAGGAAGAAGAAACGGAAGTGACCGCGCCTGTTTACAAAGAATCATCCGATAGCGTTAAAGAGCAGAAGGAGCCTCCAGAAGACACTGAAGGTAAACATAATGCAGGATTAGATCAATTAGAAATATATTTGGCGAAAATTACAGGGGATCAGCAGGATGTGCCGTCCGCAGAGATTGTCAGCATCTCTTCAGAGGTGACGAATGATCTACCCAGTGCCGAAGATACGGAAAAGTCGCAAGATATTAGCTTGATCCTGGAGGACGACGAGAGCAGTCAAAGCACGGAGAGTAAAAAGAAAGCAGCGACAGAAGAGCAGATCGTCGAAAATACGGTCGAAAACACTGAATCCTTAGAATCGTTTAAAGAGGAATCGATAAAAGAAAAGAATGTTGTGGAAATAAAGGAAGAATCTTCAATAAAGTCTCAGATAGAAAGAACGAATGAGGAAACGTTAGAGATAGGCACAGAGCTTAAGAAGGAGAAGATCAAAGATTCCTCGGAGGACACTACGAGTTCCATCTTGCAGGATATAGAAATTAAAGAGGAGAAGGTCAACAAAGGACCGGCTGATGAAAACGAGGATATTAAACAAGTGACCATAGAGGAAGCGAAAAGTGTCAAAAACGAGCCAGTCGAGGCCACAACAGCCGACGCAGAAATAAACATTAAGAAAACGGAGAGTGCAGAAGTCAAATCCGAGGAATCAAAAAACGAAATGGAACCGGAAGCTAGCGATTCATTTCATAGGAAGAGTCCGCTTCACGGTTCATCAGAGGAAGACAAGAAAGAGAAAGTGGAGGTGAAGAAAGAGGAGAAAGAGGATGTCAAGAAAACCACGGAAGGCGAGCAGAGCATAAAGAAGGAGATAGAATCTACAATTGTGGAAGAACCCGGAGAATTGGACGAGGAGGAATCATCGTTGAGCAAATTGAGTAGCAACAGGGCAATGAAGACGTACTCCAAGAAGCAGAACGTCGCTGTGGACAGCGAGCCAGAAAATGAAAGCACTGGAGAGGGCGCGGATTATCGTGCTTGGAAGAAAGCGGTCATGCTCGTCTACAATCGTTTGGCCACGCACAAATACGCATCGGTGTTTCTCAGGCCGATCACAGAGGACCAAGCGCCTGGGTATCATTCGGTGATCTTTCGACCGATGGATCTATCGACCATAAAAAAGAACATTGATAACGGTACGATTAGGTCGACCATGCACTTTCAGAGGGACGTCATGCTTATGTTCCAAAATGCAATCATGTACAACAAACATGACACGTTTATCTTTAAAATGGCAGTTTTGATGCAAGAGGAGTGCTTGCAACATATGCAGGTAAAGAAAATGTTCCGTTTATTATTCATAACTCTAATTCAAACAATATTCTTTTTTTGCTAACGACTGCTGATATGCTTATTTTAAAATGTGTTAGGAAACTGATTAGAGAGGAAAGCAAAATACAGTACTAGTGAAAATATTAAAAATATGTTTGTTTTTAAATCGTATTCTCTTTCAGTATGCATTTTATCGTATTCTTTACAGTACCTTCCTTTGTGTATTTTCGAATACAGTAGAATGAGTAGAACACTCCGTTTATCTAAACATGTCAGAGGACAAGACAGTTCCAATAACGGTTCGGATAATAGAAATTGATTTCTACTTCTCTCTAGTACTTAGTAGAATTTCTAATAAGGAGCTGATGTTCAGAAAACTGAAATCGAGCATGTCTAGTTCTTATTATTCGAACTATAGAACTGTAATTTTCTGATAATAGGAACTCATTTTGGATATTTGGAACTAAGCATGAATTTGTTCGTATAAATGGAGTGCAGATAACGGACTTCTGCTTATCACTAACGTTATTTAATTTCAGATTTTGGTACAAGCAACGGGAGAAGGAACGTTTCGGAGGGAGACCAGAACCGCTGCGAGCAGTAGTAGCGAGGCGAACGAGAGTAGCCTTAAGCGGAAACGAAGTCACATCACTCCAAGTCCCCACGATACCGACACTCCGCGGTCGAAAAAACGCAGAAAATCCGAGAACGATTAAACTAGATTAACAAGTTGTACAGAAAGATATAAAAATACACTTGTGAAGAAAGAGAGAAGTGTGACAGAGGAAGAGAAGAATAGAGACATATTTTTCAGACATTGACAAAATACATACCGATGTCATATGCGAGAATAAGTGATATCTAATGCCTACGAGGAAAGCATATGTGTGATATAATCATTATACAAAGTTTCTCGTATTTTGTAAGGCCAGTTATAATACGACTATGATGATACTCGCGTGCGACAGTTCGTCGTATATATCTAGTATTTATAGTTGTGAAACATTTAAATATTATATTATAAAATGATATCTTTTTCAATTTTACTTTCTCATCTCACTTTATCTTTAAAAATATAAAAGATTATATCTAAAAAAGATAAAGCAATAAATAAAATTCTTTTGCTATCAAAGATATCGACTGCATTGCTTTCTGCAAACATGAAATAAACAAAAATTTGATGAAAAATTAGTGTTTCTTGGAATTAAGTCCATAAAAAAATTAATCCGTATCGCAATGAATTTGACATGGTATCTCAATATCATGAAAAAAACACTACACATCTCGTGTAACTTTTAACTGTCCGATCGATTATCCGAATATACATCGTAAAAATTTGCCAGTATGTCGAAATAATAATTGTAAAATGCGATAAATTACGCGTCATAGTTGCAACGGAGCTCGACTTGTATATATGTAAAATAAGAAGATGGGATATTATTGCGCTTGGGGAGACGCGAAGATGAGGAGCAGCTCTGAGGAAGAGGGTTATGAAAATCGTGCTACCGACATTGGAGAAAAGAGAGGAGGATGCGCCTCCATCCATGGAGAAGCTGTGAGCAAAGCATAACAAAAACAAATAAGTAGTGCATGGATGATGTACAAACCATAGATTGATGTTAATCATTTAAAGCCACCCATTCCGGCTCCACCGATCTCTGATGATACCGATCGACAATTCTGGGCGGAGGATGAGCTGAGCAGCTCAGAGTCACGACAGAAATTAACTGCAAGGAGGAAGCGTCGGCATAGTGTTTCGTATAGGAATCGCGCCGCGAATAAGAGTCGATCCTACGCTCCCTGTCCCTCGAATTCCAGCTCCGATTCGATCCACGCGGAGACCTCAGCTAAAGGTAAACTCCACATATTCTTTATTTAATGATATAAGTATAATATACATGTAACAGTTACATTATGGAGTATAAAATTATAATATTGATACAGTATTACTGTAAATTGGAGTTTACTAGGATATTTCTAATACTCGTAATCAGGGTTGGCATTATTTTACTCACCCCAAAAAAATCATTATCCACTTAAAAAAACCCGCAATTTATTAAAATTGTAGAAAAATAAATTTTTTAAACACATAAAAAGGACGTATTTATAAATATTTAATGAATATATGTATACTAAACTATAACTGAAGTGATATAATTTTAACATATATACAAAAAAATTTTTAAGATATATACTTAATTTTAAGATATATACAGGGTGAGAGTCACTTAAGACCGGCCACCCGAATAACACCCACAGTTTTAGAGATAGGAAGAAATGTTTCAGATGAAAGTGGAATGATTTCAAGGGGGATGTATTTTGGTCATGTTGTCTTTCTTCTAGATGGAGGTGCTAAAAAGATATATAGATCACCTCCATTTTTTTAAACGAAACTGTATAATTTTTTTTATACAATATGGTCCCACTAATCATTCTGCATATAAAAGTATTAAGGTAGTGATAATAAGGTAATAATAACAAGGTAGTGAATAATGATAAATACAACGTAAACTAAATATTACGTGAAAAAAAATATCAAATAATCAATTTTACCAAAAAAAACCCGAAAAACTCCCATAAAACCCAGTGGGTTGAGTTTTTTTTTTAAAAAAAGCCCGGGTTTTTTTCCAACCCTGCTCATAACATAATTCCTTAACATTATACTGAACAAGTACACTCATTTTCGAACGTATAATTATTTATAGTTCGCAGAATACGAAGACGTTGGTTGAATCCTAAAATGGAGAAATTACAATCAGGAAAAGCGTCTTGCACCAGTACCGAGAAAACTGCTTACACAGTGAACAAAGTGGTCTCTTCAGAACATCAGGCTGCATCTACTTCTAGCTCGCGCCTCGAGAATCATGAATCAGTTTTGTGGCGAGAAAATCAAAAAAATTGTGAACGAGCAGCCAACACATTACGAAACGTTAAGAAAGTCCGTCTGAAAAAAACACGTGGTCTACCTAAATCTAAACCGAAATAAAATTACAATGTTCTAGTGATTATCATAATCAGGAAATTTCTTCATAGAAAAGTTGTGTAAATATATGTTTTACTTCACCGTCATAGTACATATTAAAAGCTGCATGAAATTAACAAAGTTAAATGTAAAAATATAAAATACTTTAAACAATTATATACCTAATAATGATACTGTCATGTTAACAGAATATATATGTATTATTTTCATTGTCATGTATTTATATAAAGATACTTTATTTTTTATATAAAGCAGTCTTTAATGTACACTAATCCACGCTGAGAGAAAAATGTATCAAATTTTAATAAATAATTGTTTGAAAACTAATATAACATTTATTTACATTTAAAAAATTATAATAAATATTTGCTAAATAAAAAATATAGTTGAATTAAATTAATAGTTCTTATACCAAATAAATATATGTTTACATTTAGTAAGTGTTTAACTGGCACTATCTAAATAAAATATTTATTAAAATTGAGAACGTTGTTTTCTCAGTACAGAGTTTGAATGACCAAATTTATTCATAATTTTCATCGCTCGATACTTTCGATTGTTTTCGCGGCGCTAGATGGAAGCAGGAGAAGGAACGTTCAATTGTTGATGCGCAAATAGAGCGGCGAATCTACGTGTGACATTTGCGACTTATTCGAGTGTCGTTCTGGTCTTCCGGTCTTCCAGACTCCGGTTAGGCTGTGAAAATCTTCTCGACGACGATGAGTTACTTCGTGAGTAATGAATGGGGCAAAGGCCGGTATCAGGAATTGAGTGATTCGCGTGTACATGGCGGTAAGTTGGAACTTTGGACATATTTATCTGAAGATGTATGTGACATGAATATACGACTCGCCTTTGCTTGCCTCACTGTCGATTGAATCACTTCTAAAATATTATATCAATTATCGCGTATTACGTTCTATTTTTCTCGGTGTTACGTCGCCGACAATAGCCGTTAATGACCATCTTGCCGCCATACTTGCCGGAAAATTTCGCGTCATATGGTCATATTTCAAACATATGTAATATATGCATTTGAGTAACATTTTATAGCTCTTTTCATTAAATTTATTTTAATTGCAAAAGAATCAATTGTCTATCTCGGAATTACAAAACAATGAAAAATATAAGAAAGGTATCAAACACAAGCAAATAATTAGGAACTAATTTTATTCAAGCATCAACAACACAAAGAAAACAAAAACTAGTATTTCAAACCATTAGACAACATTTTGATTTACAATCATCTGCAGTCAAATTAAAAAATTATTTAATTACATTTCCTTGCGGTTTTATAATATATATTAAAAGTGCAATATTTTATAAGTGTACAATTCTTTGTAGTATGTTAAAATGGTTGTTCAAAAGTTATACATGTTGCATATAACTTTTTTTATTTCTTAACATATCTTTTTTATTATTAATGAATTTTGACATATTCTTCCTGTAGTAGATCCAGCTGTACGTTCTATACTCTGCTGCGCTGCATTGGGTCTATGCTCGACGCTGTTGGTTCTCTCATTATGGAGCTCCAATATCCAAGTTCCAATCCGCGTCTATGTATTCCATTTTGACAGACAGCAGCCTGTATTACACGTCGTTTCCGACAAGTTCTTGTCGTTCGGTCTCGATACATCCTTACTTCGAAGAATGAATGAGTTACCTATTGGACAACAGAAATTTATCGATTTGGCCCGTCACTTAAGCCCTGCTTATGTCAGAATAGGTGGAACTTCTGCAGATTGTCTGACATTTGTTCAGGATCAGGTTGGTTTTCAAAATATAATATTCTCCATAAGTAGCACAATTGTCACATACAAACTTATTCACCTTTCCTATCTGTTTCAAAATTATAGAATATAATTAATTGTTACAAAACTGCTTGTAGATTTAATCTCATTTAATGTTTTAATACATATATGTGATAATTCAGATGGAACAAAACTCATGCAAGAAGATCCTTAGTCCTGTGGATGGCCAGGATATCAGCAATTTTACTATCTCTGGCGCGGATTTGCTTGCTCTCTATGATTTTACAGTGAAGTCGGAGTTACGAATGATCTTTGATCTGAATGTATTGCTCAGAAATCCAGATGGATCTTGGAATGACAGCAACGCACAAGAGATTATCGCATTCACTAAGAATCAAGGCATGACGTTAGATTGGCAATTGGGCAATGGTAAGTAACTATATAAATGTGAAAAATCAACATATGTAAAATATGATTAACATATAAATATTAAATTAATAATAAATTAAGAAAGAAATTTTAATTGTTTGATATCAGTATAAATGTTAAGTTATCATGAAGTATGTATACGTAAGCAGAATTGTATGCACATGTAGTCCCTAATAGTTATTTCGATAATGTTTTTAGAACCAAATTCCTTTAAACACGTGTTCAGTATAACAATTCCTGCGACTGAACTCGCGAAGGATTATGATCATTTAAGGCAATTGCTAAATGAAGCAGGATACGTCGACAGCATTCTCGTTGGACCAGAAGCTAATCACGTCGGAGATTCTGATGAGATGGGAGAATTGTATATCAAAACATTTTTGAGTAGCCAGAAGAACACTGTGAATTACGTAACTTGGCATCAGTATTATCTGAACGGACGAGAGGCTAAAATGAGTGATTTTGTGGCACCTTCCACGTTCAACTGGTTACCAGCGCAAATCAATTCCACGAAACAATTTATTGCCGAGTCGGGGAAAGATGTTTCTATGTGGCTGTGTACGTGTCTTATATTAATATAAAAAAATATTGGATATTACATTACAGTATCGCTTTTCCGCTTTTTATAGCTTTGTTCTTGAAAGATTATTTTTCTAAATCATAATACTATTTATACGTACATAAATCTTTAATATTTTTTCTTTAAAATCACAAATCTTCCGATTTTTTAATTCATCTTTCTAAATGTCATTACGTGTAATCTTTTTAGGATAGATTCTTAGGATAGATTTATTAACAGAGAATATATTATTGTACAAAAGACTATTCAATAAAAAATCTAATTTATAGCCGAGACTAGCACTGCATTTGGTGGAGGTGCGCCCGGATTGTCCGACAGATTCATAGCCGGATTTTTATGGTTGGATAAATTGGGATACAGCGCTAGCGCGGGATTAGACGTCGTTACGAGACAATCATTATTCGGTGGGAATTATGCTATGATATCACCGAATCTCGCACCAAATCCTGATTGGTGGGTCAGCGTCTTTTACAAGCAATTCGTTTCGGAGAAGGTTTTGAAATTGTCCAGGCTCAACAATTTTGGCTATGTACGATTGTACGCGCATTGCACGTCGAAAAATGCGCTGATTTCCAGAGTACCAGCTATCACGGTTTACGGAATGAATATGGACAGAACTGCGGTCTTCATACATATTCCGGAATTGTTTGTACAAAATAGTAAAACCATGATTTCGTATTACTCTCTAAGCGCTGATCATTTGCTGTCGAGGTATGTATAAAGTGACAAATAGAATTCTATAATAATAATAATAATAATAATCAAATGAATATTGAACTAAATGAATAATAAATCTGAGTTATATTTGTTTTGCAGCGAGATAAAGCTGAACGGCGAAACTGAGGCATTAAAACTGCAACCAAATGGTGATCTGCCGCCGTTTCGACCTGTAATATTAGATTCTGCGAATCCTGTATTATTGCCACCATACTCTATGGCGTTTATGATAATTCATGGTACCAATGTTTCTGCATGTTCAGCATGAATAAGTTTTTAAAGAAAGCGACAAGTCGATTTTACAGGACATTTATATATATTGTATTTATTTATTATATATTATATTAAACATTTATATTATAACTTATGTTACATATTTTTTTACAAACTCTTATTAACAAGGAAGCTTATATAGACATCAGAACCGTTTACAGAAGGCGCGAAGCCGTAGTAGAAATTTATTTGTCTACCGTGTAACAGTTCTCAGTTTACAATCTGCTTTTTTCTATCATTTCTAATAATAAATGTTACATTGCCTGTACAAATAATAACGGGCAATAACGCTGTATGTAACTGTATGTATTTTCACCAGTTCATGTGGCTATACAATTTCTTTTTCTATGGTGTATTATATAATATATTCCTGTGTTTAAAAGAACACTTATCGTTCGTATTTTTATTTAATAATATATATTGTGCTACCTTCATTCACTCGAAGGATTTTTTATCCTTTCCATAAAGACTGACAATGAGTACTAAAATAACAGTTCATAACCATTGTATCATACAAACAGCAAACGCACAATAGCGAACAATTATAAATATCGAAAGTAATATTGTACAAAGGAATGATATTTATACATCGAGCGAAAGTTCATAATGAAAGTTCGTAATGAGACTAGCATTATCATTACTATACTCAATACTCTCTCGGTTTTTGTGAAAACATTTGACACTCAAATTAGAGAAATTAAATGTTCAAGATAACAATCATCATCGTGAACAATCGACACGATCTTGCCTGATAATAGATTTCGCACGAGTATTCAATACCTATAATTGCATTATAAGTTCCATTATTATTATTATTCTATTCCGCGCTGGAGATCGTGATAGTTTTCCCCTTAGGATCATCGAATCTGTCCATCGTGCGGATATCCATGATCATGGTGAGCGCCCATATCATGATCAAGCCCAATATTACCGTCACGAATATTCCCGTCCAAATTGGTATACTGGTAAAACCGACGCAGTCGTACGCGTCGTTGAACGTCGCATTTTTGTGTTCGACCTGTACCTGCATATCCGTGATATTTAAGTACGTGGTACCGTCTGTGAAGACGGTTTTCAGTGAGCAATGATAAGAGAAACCGAATGGAAAGGAAATGTCTCGCTTGGTAGATAGATTATCAACTCCATTGGTCGTCTCGCAGTTCACTCTGTTCAACGTGTAGTAGCCGACGCTTTTGACCTGGAAGAAGAACTCGAGCGTCAGACTGCCAATGGTTTCATCGGTGAACTTGATGGTCAAGATCGTGCTGTCATTGCCCTTACGAGACGACATTCCGGTGACTTTAGATTGACTAAGATTCACCTCTGATGACTTGTCGGATATCTGCAATGGTACAACACTTTCTTTGTATTACCTTCAATTTTTTTTAACTTTCCTTAATTGACATCGAATACGTTTATGTTTTTTGATAATTCCTTCTCTTTCATCGCTTAATACATAAGTTATAAAAAGAAAGTCTCAAAATTTGAGAAATTTGCTTTAAAATTTCTTATGTAATATTAATATATTGATGTTATTTACCTGGAATTTCAATGGTTGAGCGGAATATAATAGAACTTTGTCTGTTTTTATCTTGAACTCTGTAGAATTGTCTGCAAGCGCTTCTCTCTTTATTCGCTCAGCGTGGCTGTAACGACACTGTTTTCCAGTAAATGCTATGCATCCGTTCGAATCAATGTCCTTGAGGACCATGTTAAACTCGTGATCATAATTCATATTCTCTATATTTTTTATATGTTTATAGATCTTTTGGAAGATCTTATCGGGCGAAACGACACACGGGTAATAAAATATTTTAGAACCATTAGTAGCATTTGACAGCACCTGCAACATTTGTATATTTATAACAACTTTATTTTATGATCTCTGAAAGAATCTCTAAAAGAAATAATTGATGTATCTGTTTTTAATTCTACATTTCATTACTGTGTGCTTTCCATTTGGTGATGCAAGTGTCATTCTTTATTATTCTTTGAATATCAAGAAAGATAAGATATTTATATCGACTTGTATCATTAAACAGAAAGCACTCGAACATAATATATTAAGATATACGAATGTAGGATGGAAAATACATTTGTAAATCATAATGAAACAAACTAAAAGTCTTATTATCATTAAATATTCAATGCAAATTTGGGAATATTTTCTTCTTGTATATCTTTCATTTTTAAATTATAACAAATGTATATCCATAATCCAGAGAAAGAAGAAAGGGATGTAAGAAATAAGAGAGGTAACAGATTGAAGCTTATGACAATAGTATTGCAACAATGGTCTACTTTCTATCGAAACTCTCAATTCCACTTTTGTGTTGATCAAATTTAGTGCTGTTTCCATTGGAAGTAGAGACTTTGTGGATTGAAGTAATGAAAAGAGTGTAATCAAACATATTTCTTCAACTTGTGTAATCAACTTATTTCGGTTCAACACTGCTTTAAATATGAATGAATGCTTTGGAGAAAACTAGACACTAGAATAATGTGAACCAGATGCAATCGAGATTCGAGGTTTCTTTCCCTGGATTCTTCCTCCGTTATCTTTTCCTGTATTCCTTTTTAAGGCTCTCTGATAAACATCCCTTTTCTAGCCGCAGAATAAATAGCCAGGAGGGGGCGAAGAGAACTAACCTTGCTATTTCGCAGATCCTCGACGCACAGCTCCTCGGCGATGATCGCTGGCTCGGTAATGTTGAACTGCACCAGATCACTCTCGAACTCGTCGGAAGCCAGCTTCTGCAGCGGACTCGATGGCGCCGTTCTGAACGTCGCGTTGGACAACTCCTGCGGACACCAGATCACAACGGGCGTGCAGGCGCAGGCAAAGGCGAGCTGATAGACAGCGAACAGTGCGAAAAATGACACGTGGATCACATTGCTCGGTTTTCCCGTGCCTCTCGTCATCCTGGAAGTCGAGTTGAGGCCGGGTCGAACGAACGCGAATTCACGCTAAACCGTACGCACAGTAACTGATTCAATGGAGCAGAAGGCACTCCGAAAGCACCTGACTATTACCTCGTGACGCTGACTCGCATCACGTGGCCATGCACTTCCGGATTTCGAAAAACCGCCCCGCCTAGATGGAAACGTCGAAATTACCAAGAAAAAAAAGGGAAATATTCTTATTATATTATTCCTTTTTATATTATTACTTATGTTATTACTTATTATTATTATTTATATTATTACTTATTATATTATTACAATTATAGTTATTATTATTACTGTTATTATTATTATTATTTTACTTTATTATTTTGGAGTAGGTATTGCATTTTCAAAATTAATCACTTGAAAAAAAGGAAATAATTGTTATGTTAGTGTGTTATATTATTGTGTGTGTGTGTGTGTGTGTGTGTGTGTGTGTGTGTGTGT